CTTTACCCAGTCCAAGCGTCTCATGTGTCCAGGTAACCTATCACCTCATGGATGCTGGCGTGATCTGGCATGCAGACTTTGGACACTGGGATTCCATGGTCCTGGGACACTTTCTTCAGGAGCAGTTGGAGGCACAGGCCCTGGTCTTTACTCCGGAAAGGCACCAAGACAAGAGGATTAGCTGGGAGGTGGCACATGCAGATCACAGACCTGCACGTGAGCATTCTGGAGAATGGAACACCACCAAGCTGAGAATGCCAGGGACTGATTCGCATGGGCAAGGCCTTTCTTTTGTGGAAGGGGAGAAGGTATGGTATGATTTGAAGGGCACCCAAAGCAGCCACTGTGCCTCTCACAATAGCCCTGCCAAGGCTCACCTACCACCTTGACACTCTTTGGGATTAAAGCAAAAAATCTCAGGTAGTTAAAAGGAAATTTTTGCAGAGTGACACGTTGAGCCATTGCCACTTTAAGACTGGGCAGAGCTGCAAAAGACAAAGCAAAAGGATAAAAGGGAAAGTAGTGAAGCACGGGATTTGGGGGTCCCACCATGCAGAATTGTGGGAATCCGTGCAACAACCATACCAATGTAAACCATTACCACTTGTATATACTAAAACACCAATGATGGTAGACAAAGACAGGGCACCTGCCTTTGAGTAAGTTATAAAGAAACCTAAATAGAGAAAGTTACTGTTCAATGTGTTCACTTCGGGGATAGGGATTTGGCAAAGGACTATAGGGACATGGCAAAAGCATCTCGACATCTTAAGGGTTTGGATATTGGTGCGTGTAACAATAATTTTGATCAATGAGTGTCTCTCCTTTTCTTCTCCCATCCCTAAGCTCTATAAACGATGAAGAAATTACCAAACAAAGCCCTAAACCTCCCCAAAGGGTCACTTTCCAAAAGGATACATTTCTGGACAGCAAGCTTCACCTAGAACTTTACTGAGCTCCAATCCCTTTACTGCAAGATAAGCCCCCTCTGACCCCAGGAAAGCTCGCACTGCCTGTCTGAGTACTTTCCACTCAGGAACCTGCTTGCATCCGGCCAAGCGGTCTTGCCTTCCTCCCCCATACCCACCCCGCCTCCCCACTCACAATCCTCCAAACATGTAAAGAGCCTTTGCTTATGAGGCTTCAAACCTCTTCCTGGGTCACATCTTCCCCCTTTATCCCACTTCCCGCCCTACCAGGAGGCTCCTACTCATTTTTGGCTTCCGGCCTCAAGGCCCACCCCATCAGCAGCAGCATGAAAAGGTGGTCAGCACAGTGGGCACCAATCTTTCCCCCACCCCAGTGCAGGAAGGAAGCCTGCACCCACCTCTGGGCGTTTGGTGGTGACTCACCCAGAAGAGTCCACTCCCCCACACCGGACACAGGAAAGACAAAAGTCCTTCCATTACAGGGACTCAGCTCAAAACCTCAAACCAGAGAGGCCATCTCCATCTGCAGCCAGCAGGCTCTTTCAAATTCTCTTTCCTGTCTGTCGTACAACCACAGTAAATGTCTTTCAATTTCTTCAAAGCACCAAGACTTTATGCATGGATTTTTTTCTCCCTGTGGAAAATTCTTCACCTAGTTAACTCCTAGTTATTCTTCCTTGCAACTTACCTCTAACCACTTACAAGCTCCCCAAGTGTCGGGACCTGTATCTTTCCAGAAAAGTCACCCTTAACATGATGACTCCCAATGTATCTTATCATATCCCCCAAAAGGTTCTAAGTTCCTTGAAGGCCAGGATTCCTGTCTTATTGAAGGTTGTATTCCCACTGCTTTGTGCCTGAGTCACGATAGGCACTTGGTCAATGTCTTGAGTTGAAAAGAAATAGAAACCGTAATATACAAACCATCATTATTATCCTTAGAAGAAGGTTGGAGGAGTATGAAGACTTATTCTCTTATGCTTAATTCATCAGCCATCGCCTGGCCTAAACTGGTGGTTTTCAAAGTGTGACCCTGGCCTTGTAACATTAACACCATGTGGAAATTTCTTAGAAACATAAATTCTTGGTTCAGTCCCAGACCTGCTGATTCAGAAACTCAGGGCACTTTGTTCAGTACTCTGTATTTTAATCACCCCCACTGGCGAGTGATTCTGATGCATGCTGAAGTTTGAGAAAACACTCCCTAGTCCTAGGGCCAAGCTTGGGTCGTAACATTCAACCATGGGAATATTGAAAATTAGAAAAATTTTACATTTATAACAAGATTTGTTTATCTGAATAAACACTTCTCCATCCTGATCCCCCATCTTCTTATAATAGTTTAAGTCAGCAGCAGGCATAAGTTTTATTAAGCTCCATTGAGTGGATAAAAACACTAAGTTGAAGAAAAAAAAAACCCACTTTCTCAAATGATAAGATTGGAACAGGCAGGGTCAAGGAAGGACTCAGGCCCAAGGGTCTTTCCACAGTAACACAAAGTCATTCGGAAGCCAGTCAAATAAAATAAAGCACCAGAGACTTCACACTTTAGGGGCCAGAAATGTGAATACATCTTTCCCAGCACTATGATGTTGGCTGATAATGGTAAATGACTTCTCAAGGGGCTTCCTGAGCGTTTGGGTTTCTAAGGATGCCAGTCAGACCTTCAGGATAATTAAGGGCAATGGGTCATACAGCTTACATTGTAGTTAATTTTTTATAAAAAACATAATACCCAATTCATGCCACCCCAAAATGGCTTTTAAAACCTGCTTCACATTCGTAGAGGCGAAGAACCCCCATCTGTAAGAAACCTCACTTCTATATAGAGAGGTTCCAGAACAAACTCTTAGGTTTGGGTGGACACAGCAGGGAAAGTTCTGGAAAATGACAAAGCAGGACTGCCGGAGATCGTCTGTTTGGATGGCTGTCTGGCGCCCCCTTGTGTTCAGTATCAGGACCCAAAAGAGCTGGAAGGCAACAATGATGCAGTGAGGGGCAAATGGCTACAGCAATTCACAAACGGCACTCTAGCCAGAGAGGACCAGAGGAGTAGGCTTAGCACTGGGCAAAGGCCCCTCTGACCACCGTCTGGGCTCTCCTGAAGCCCCTCCAAGCACTCTTCCAGCCCTAGTGGAAAAGTACTCACTAGGAAGACGCCTGGAGGGGCATAGGTAAAAGCTGTGCCCAAGCTCACCTGTTGCCTCTACCAGGAGGATGGATCATTGCATCCTTCCTGCTGGGTGTTTGGCCAGAGGGCTTCTCCTCGTGACTTACTGCCCAGGGCAGAAAAGGCTTAGAACACCCCCACCCCTTTCATTAAAGGGAAATTGAGTGTTCTGCTGAAGACAGCTCTGGCCCCTGAGGAGACATTGCAAGGCAGTTCTGAATGTGCTAAGTCAGTGGGTGATAATGGGCACTGTGTGCCCAGCAAAGGCACTTCCCACCCTCTGCCATAAATAGTCTTTAACTGGTTCAGACAGAAGCTTGGGGTTGGCTCTTCCTTCTCACCTGCCTGCTCCTTGACTTCCACCCCCCAGGGCCCTACCCTCCCAGCCATACCACCGAATCCTGCCCCTGGTGTGAAAAGACCTTGGCATGTTCAGCCCAAAACAGCAGAGCCAATGCCAAGCGTCCAGGGCAGCTCTAGCCCCAGAGCAGGGCTCCCCTCAAGGAGCAGCCCTGATCTGAGCCTTAAATTCTGGTTGGATCCCAATTCCTCCTCATATAAGCTGAGATAGACAAGTCATATAAATCAGATCACTAAAACTCTCTGAGCCCCAGTCTCCTCATGTCAAAAATGGAAATCTCAGCCCTGAAATTAGCCCAATATGATTCTAGGGATGATAGACTTGAATATGTTGGAAAATCTAACAGACAAGTATCCTCTTGCCTCTGAGCCTTTGCACATTCTGTTCCCACGGCCTGGAACCATTTTCTCCCCTCTCTCTGTCACTTGGCTATCACCTGTTTATCTTCAGTCTCAGCTTAGACCTCCTCGGGAACCCTTCTGTGTTTCCTTGAGCCAAGTCAATTTCCCCTGCAGTGGTTCCCATAACTCTCTGCATGTCAGCAGTCCCAAAAGTGGTCACAAAGTATGTTAACTGGCTGTTTGCTGGTCTGGGACCTCACTGTGATAAACCCCATGAGGGAAGAGCAGGGATAATGTCTGCCTTATTCACCTTGGCATCTTCGGGGTCCTGTACAGTGCCTGGCAGATAGTAGGCACTCAGTATATATGGATTTGCCAGGATGGACAGACTCAGAATGAAGCACAGGCTGGGGCCAAAGAGCACGGGCCAAGTCAGGAAAGCAGCTAAGGGAATGTGCGCACATATCCATGATGTGGACAGATTCCCACAATGGCCTGTAGCCCCCCTGTCTGTCATGGAACCCAGTGCTATCTGTGCCTGTGAGGACCCTGTACCAGGTTCCTGGTGCTCTGGCCTGTCAGAGAAAGAAGGAACCTTAAGGGCCATTCAGGCCAGTAGTCCACAGGCAGAGCTTCGGTCTTCTCTGCCCAAGCTCTACCAGAGAGGTTCTGCTTTTATTCTTTTGTATTTGTTTTTCTCAATGGGATAGTGTTTTAAAATCTGGTTCCATGAGGAGAAGGGAAATGTGAAAATCATCTGTGCCCTCATTTTACAAAAGGAGAGGAGACTCAGAAAAAAGGAGTTTTCCCCAAGGTCAAACGGCTCAGTACTGGCATGAGAAGACCCCACATCCTCAACTCCTTACACACTTTTCAGAAGGAGGGAAGAAAATTAGTGATTGTTGTAATCTGGAGTAAAAGGCTGAGTCTGCCCGAAGAGTCCCCAGGTGCAATGTGCTCCTGCAACACCATCCCATGGTGGGGGTGAGCATCACATGCCATTTGTGCCAGCATCCTGGGGGTGAGAACTGGGGTGGGGGTCCAGAGGGACCCACAGAGCCTGGCCGTGGAATTTCATGGTCACAGTCACACACACACACACACACACACACACACACACACACCTGCACTCGTAGCTAATCATCATCCAAACTCCTGCCTGGCCTTGACAACTGTCCCTGGGAATATTGTCTCCTTAGGTCATGGCGGGCTGAACCAGCTGGGAGGGGCCTTTGTGAACGGCAGACCCCTGCCCGAAGTGGTCCGCCAGCGCATTGTAGACCTGGCCCACCAGGGGGTGAGGCCCTGTGACATCTCTCGCCAGCTCCGCGTCAGCCATGGCTGCGTCAGCAAGATCCTGGGCAGGTAAGCACGAAATTCACCCCAGATTGCCCTCCCTGCTCTCCAGCTGATCTCAAGGCAGCAAGCCCGTCTGTCCTCCCGGGGAATGGGGAATTGCTCCCCATGTCCAGCTTTGATCCTGAGACCTGAACAGTTATGGTGGTCCTTCTGGACCTCTGCCCAGCCACTACTTTCCTACTGTTTTCTTGCCCTTCCTTCTTTCTTTGTCCACTTAACCTTCTCTTAGGTTCTCCCTCTCCCTTCTCCTCGGCTCCATGTCTCATTTGCTATAGGCTTCTCTCCTCCTAAGGCAGGAGAATCTTCCCCAAAGGTCCTTCTCCTACTGAGAGCTAGGGAAATTGAGCCACTAGGGAGGGGACACACAGTCAGATGAGCTCCCAAGGTCCAACCCCTAAAAGAGGATCATCTGAGTTTGTGCTTCTTGAACCACAATTTCTCAAGACCCCAGATCCGTGCTTCACAGCCCTGGCAGCACATTCGAGTCACCTGGGGAAGCCTGATTTTAAAAATAGCAGTAGTGTTTATGCCCCAGCACAGACCAATTAAATCAGAGCTTTAGGGGAACAGGCCCAAGTTTTGGAATATAACTCCCTCGTCCATCTGTGCCCAGTAAGTGACTCTAATTCTCTGCAGCCAGGGTTGAGAACCACCGACCCAAAAGTTCAGGAGAGACCAGGAGCAGCAAAGGCCTGCTTCCGAGCTGACGCAGCCACAGATTCCAGTCTGCAAAGCCACTTCCACCAGAAACGCCTCTGTGCCAGAGCTTTCTGTCAGCTCTGTATACGTGTGCCTGTCCCCCTGCTCTGACTCTTATGTGGGTTTAGGAGGAGCCCCAGCTGGACAAGGCAAAGGGGCCTGGACTGTTCTTTGAACTGTGAAAAGCCCTGGCTCCCCGCCTGAAATGGGGGAAGGTGTGAGCCTTTGCTGGGCCTGGGAGAGGGAACTCCCGTGAAGGGCTGTGGTGTCCCACAGGGATGAGCCCTGGATGGAAGTAACAGATGAATGCAGTTTTAAAGAGCCAGATTATTTTTCATGCAGATGAGACCAGAGAGTTTCTACAACAAGGAGAGGAGGAGAGGATATCCTGACCCAGGCCAATGATCTGCCAAACCAACTAGTTGGAGGGTAGAGGGAGGGGAAGGGTGGACACCCAGGAAGAGGAGGCTCAGCTTAACAAGCTGGACCTGGCTGGGGATCTAAGCAAGGTCGGGATTCCAGAGTCCATGAGGAGCAGCTTCAACTTGAACCTGCTAAAACCTGATAGAAAACCAGCTACCGGGGGGTGACGGGTATGGCTCAGGTTTGGACAGGAGGGAGCAAAGGTGAATCAGCAAGACAAAGCAGAGGGTCCAGTGACCTCAGCTAGCTTCCCAGGTGGCCAAAGAAAATAGTCAGTCATTGGCTGGATGTAGTGGCTCATGCCTGTAATCCCAGCACTTTGGGAGACCAAGGCGGGCAGATCACTTGAGGCTAGGAGTTCAAGACCAGCCTGGCCAACTAAGTGAAACCTGCCTCTACTAAAACTACAAAGATTAGCCTGGTGTGGTGGCAGGCACCTGTAATCCCAGCTACTTGGGACGCTGAGGCAGGAGAATTGCTTGAACCCAGGAGGTGAAATTGTGCCATTGCACTCCAGCCTGGGTGACAGAGTGAGACCCTGTCTCAAAAAAAAAAAAAAAAAAAAAAGTCGGTCATGTTTTAGCCAAGAGAAGCTGGGTAGAGCAAACTACTGTGCCCCTGTCATTCACACATCATGCACACAAAGATTTCCTTTCTTAGAGGGGAAATCTTTTGTGCCCCATATGATGGCTATTGTAGGTGCTAGGACACAAGGGACTGGCCAGAGGGAAGGGAGAGAGAGCAGCCAGGGTCAGGCCTTTAGCACATGGTGCAGGTTTGGCAGTAGCATGCAGGGAAACAGATAGTTCCATGCACATCAAGCATTTGAGGCCAGCCTTGGGGACACGTTTCAGTCTCATACCCCTCCCCAGAAGCCTCAGAGAGGAGCGAGGCTCTAGCTGAGTCCCTGTCTAAAGACTCCACCTGCTTATTGGGTAATTCTTCGGGGTTCTCTATTGGAGTAGGTACTACGAGACTGGGAGCATCCGGCCTGGAGTGATAGGGGGCTCCAAGCCCAAGGTGGCCACCCCCAAGGTGGTGGAGAAGATTGGGGACTACAAACGTCAGAACCCTACCATGTTTGCCTGGGAGATCCGAGACCGGCTCCTGGCTGAGGGCGTCTGTGACAATGACACTGTGCCCAGTGTCAGCTCCATTAACAGGTGAGAGAGAAAGCAGCCTCTGGTGTCAGGCTGGGGTCCCTGGGTTTGGGGAAATCAGGAAAGAGACCACAAGAACCTAGCTTGGATGGAGCAGAGGCTGGGAAGGGGCCTGATACTGAAGAATCAGGCAGGGAACACACCAGGCTAGGGGCAGGTACCACAGCTACCTGCCTCTTTCCTTGCCTCGTGCTATGAAGTACCCTCCCCCTGGTCCCTAGCCAGTGTGCTGTCTATAGTTTCTTTCCTCAAACACCACATTCTCTTTCATTCAATAAAAGAATTTTCTTGACTGGATCCTTTTCTAAGCCACTAGACCCCTAACCCCGCCTGCATTCAAGCATTCACTCATTTGTTTATTCCTTCAATGATTCACTCACTACCTCAATCAACCAACCATTTACTTACTCACTCACTTTTCATTAATTCATTCGCATGTAATTCATTCATTCATTTTGTGCTAGGCCCTGGGGACACATAAAATCTATCTTTGTGGTGCTTACAGTCTAATGTGAATACAGGTATTAATCAAGTATCTACCCAATATTGTAAAAATGCAATTCTAAGTCCTGCTAGGAAAAGGAACATGAGGGTATGCAAGCTAGCATGGGATTATTTTGTTTATGAAGATCAGGAAAGTCTTCCCCTGAGTAAGAAACAATGAATAAGAGAGGTAGGTGAAAAGAGCTCAGACAGCACATGCAAAGTCCCTGTGGCTAATAGGATCAAAAGAAAACCAGTAAATAGGCTGGGTACAGTGGTTCATGCCTATAATCCCAGCACTTTGGGAGGCCATGACAGGTGAAAGAAAGAAAAGAAAAGAAAAGAAAGAAAAGAAAGAAAGAA